GAGAGAGAGAGAGGTTAATGTGCAGAATCATACAATGACAAGCAAGAAACTAATGTTCCATGAACGTAACATGGGTTTGATGATAGATTGGGTGTCAACAGTGTCGGCTGTTCCAAGAGCTGCGAAATCTTCTCGTCCTGAAATGGTGGATCTTAACATTTCCTATGGTTTGCAAGCTTCCTAGCAGTTTCCCAAAAGGAAATAAGTTGCAGCAGTCGACTTTCACCTACTAATACCGAAGCTGTTCGTAGTCATGGCCACATCTTATGGTTCGAGATAGAGACTGTTGTGCCTAGCAACTTTGACCGACGGCAGCTTCCATCTTTGTTATGGACTTTTAAGAACTAGTACATCTTTGTTGTGCTTGATCTGAAAGAACTATTGTTTGAACAGGCAGTCGTTTCTTGAGCAAAGAAGACAATGCATATGTGCCATGATCTTGTGACCCAGTTATCTCGAGCCTTTAAACCGAGATCGTCCAAAGGGGGGTCGATGGTACCCAAGTGATATGCATCGCTAAGAGTTAGTAATAGGCCTTAACCTCGTGCAATTAATTCACAAATGAAACGTACAAGGGACTAGCCTTTATTGGAAAGATTAGAATAGTCAAATGACAATGGGAGACAGGGAGAGTCAAAGAGAAATTGATGGAAGATTTGATACTTCAAAGGGCACAGCCTCCGGCAACAGTTGTTTCCTTCCCTGAAATCTGTGACCAGTTCAATGGTCTTCTTGTGGAAAGGCAGCTCGTACCATTAAAATAAATTCCTCATTAATATCACACGAAAATAAGGACCATCTTAGTCCAAGGAAAATAATAAAAAAAAGGAGTAAAACATAGATTGTTGAAATCCAAGGTTTAGCAGCTGAGAGGACCGTCGCAGCCCTCGGCCGACACCGCTGTCGATGACTTTAGGATGTAAAGCCCATCGTTGTAGTATAGTAACATCGTACTGTTTGTTAGATTATGACACTGTAACCAGATCTATCTTCTATTTAAATTTATTTATTAGTATCATTCGGAAAAATATTATTCGGTTTTGATTTATGATGTTTGAACGATTTGGTTTTGATTTATGATGTTTGAACGATTCGTTGCTAATGAGCAACACGAGGTTCTTTGTGTTTGATTGATGGACCACTATCGACAGTTTACTATCGATAGGAGTATTATGGAGGGCGATAGCCTCTGGTGGTTGTTAGCCTAATCATGGACAGCGACTGCGTACACAACAAAAGCGTTGTAGTGTGCGATAGCCGACAATAATCACATGCACGACTACCTATGTGTAGTAGCTTTGCTGCAGTGACCTACCTTGGTTGCAAGCGACTACAACAGTGTCGCTATGTGTGATGACTGCAATAGTATCGTTGCCTGTAGTGGATATAGTAGTGCCGCTTCCTGCAGTGGCTATAGCAATGCCACCACAACATTTATTGGCCACAGATGACATTAACTAGATATCAAAGGCCAACGGTTGCCAATGCTACGTGTGTGCACAGTCGTGCATGGGTACGATGGCACAGGGTGACAACAATGAGGTTATCAATTAATCACCTAAGAATAGTCACGCCACCACCGATGACACATAGGCAACGGATGATCAGTGCACCATCGATGAGACCCACATGCCTATGTGAGGTGGAACGCAATGACGACGATTGTGAAAGATAATTAGAGTTTTTTAAAAGAACATATCTACTCTAAAAAATCAAAAGAATTTCAATCTATGTCCTTCAAATTATTTTTCATTTAAACCCTTTTGATTAAAAGTTTTCATTATATATCCTAAGAAAAATTATACTTTTGTCCTTCAAAAATTAAAATTTTTTAACTTATAAGGGTTTCATATAGAATTAAAAAATAAATTATAATTTTCTTTTCTAGTTTTTTCATATCACATATTGATAAAATTTTATATATGATAATTAAAACTCAAATTATTTTGTTATTATTGAACTATTTCGACATACAATAGATTGAAAATTTTTTATAAATATTATTTTAAATTCATATCCTTAAGTTTTATCTGACTAACAACTATCAAAGTGACCTAGGATAATAAAATTATGGGATGTGAATTATAATAAATTATTTATCATTTATAAAATATTTTAAATTATATTTTATATTATTGTATTAGTCTTGTTGCCACCAAGGTAGCTTAGATCAATAATTTATAAAATTATATTAAAAATTTAATCCTAAATGATATAAAAAATAATATTCACACATGTAATTAGGAAATTTAGATAATCCTAAAAGAGAATCTACTTCGAATAATTATGTGTTAGAGTCGGATGATATTGTTTTGGATATCATTGCAGTTGAGGATTATACATCTAAAGATAATAATACTATTCTATAAGGATGATATCAACTATTCATAAATATTTTTTTTGTGAAAACTAGATAAGACAATATTTCATCGTAAGGTGAAATAGAGATGATATTAATCTGAAAAGAGAATTACTTCGAATAATTATGTAATATAGTAGGATAATATTGTTTTGGACATCCTTGCAGTTTAGAGTTATATACCTAAATGTAACAATACTATTCCATAAGAATGGTATCAGTCATTTATAAATATTTTTTATAAATGCTAGATATGATAATTTTTCATCCGGTGAAACAAAGATGATATCAATAGTTCAATATTTATTAAAGAAAACTCAAAGTTTTGATATTATATTATTTTATTATAATAACACTTTATTTTATTTTTATAAATATCTCTATTTTTTTGAATTAAATTATTATTCAAATAACTATTAAAAGTTATGTGAAACAAATAATTAAGATAAATGATTGAGAAAGGTTTAAAAGACTCGGTTTTATGACAAATAATAATAATATTTAGACTTCATTATAATCTACAACTAGCAACTGGAATATTTAAAAATCAAATTAAATTTGTTGATGTTAGGAAACCATGGGTGTTTGACATCACATGCGTAGCGGAAGAATAAAAAACAAAAATCACAAATTTCCTATA